ACCTAAGACAACACATAATGTTGTTATGCTGTCGAGGTTTTTCTATAGATTTTGTATTTCCCCAACACATTACATTTTTGATGTGAAAACATTTTGTGTTATTTCTTTTTCAGTGAGTTTTCTTTATAGCCCATTATTTGTATCAAGCAAGCACAATTACTGTATTTATGTTTGTTTTACAAAGGTAATTATTTTTATTTTTACAAAAAAAAAGAGTCTTAACCGACCTGCATGGACTTTGCTTTTCCGTAGCGCAGATCGTTGGCAAAGTGCTCACAGTTCTTTTTAATAACGTTGTAGGGCAGCGTTTGACCGACCCTCGCACAGGCGTCCCTCGCAATGTCCTTCGCCGGGCGGGGCTTGTTCTTCTCGTCCAGGCTGTTATTGATTTCCCACTTGTCGTTTCCCACCACATCCCTCAGCTTCTCTTTCTTCACCAAGGCCTTCTCATTGGGAACACTCATCAAACTGTCGGCAGAGGCACCCTGAACGTTAGCTATGAGCACAAAGGAAAAGAGAGGAAAATAGATGTGATTGTTTGGTTTATGCACTAAATACTGTAAGATATTTTGTTTTTATGGATTATAAACAACTTCAAACAATGGGGTTTTTTTGGTCAAAAAAACGTAATGTGTCAGTAAATTAGGGCTGTTATGTGTGTGTGTGTGTGTGTGTGTGTGTGTGTGTGTGTGTGTGTGTGTGTGTGTGTGTGTGTGTGTGTGTGTGTGTGTGTGTGTGTGTGTGTGTGACTCACAGACTCTGTCGTAGCTCTTCTGTATCTCTAGATGTCCCCAGTGATTGAAGATTCTTCTCCAGTGTGACAACTGTAAGAGCAATACAAACACAGGTTATACAGGTTATAGAATAATTGGAATGTCTTCTTAAGGCTACCAAAAAACAAATTCCACCTCCATTCTATTATTACTAAGTCGTCTTTTTAAACCTTTTAAATTGTAATTAATTCACTATTTCAAAAAAACATGATGTTGCGATCTGAACGTGGCCTTTTGGTTTACTTCCTCCAATTGGGTTAGCTTATCTTCTCATTACCATTGAATCGCACTAGTGTTGGCTTGGAGACAGTCCAGTACCACTTGTAAGAGGTGGTCTTTGTGGTCTGCACAATAGCACGATTACTCTGTTCAAATTTGTCAAAACAAATTGCAACAGGGGTTAAACTGCACGGGAGTGTAATATTGGCTTGTTAGAGAGTGCTTGAATTTAAAGAGACAAAGACTAACTCCAATATGTTCCGGGTCAAAAGGTCTCAGAGTACTTACGCTGGGATGGGAGCACAATGACACACACACACACACACACACACACACACACACACACACACACACACACACACACACACACACACACACACACACACACACACACACACACACACACACACACACACACACACACACACACACACACACATTAAGAAGTGGTCTTTTTACCATTGGCGTTGATCTGGAAGACATTGGAGGAGGTCTCCTGGAACACATCTTGCAGTTCGGAAGGGCTGACCTGAGTGGCTTTGGAGAAAAAAAAATTGATATCAGCAAACAGTCCTGAGCTCAGTGGAGCGAGTCACTTCAGCACAGAGCGCTGATCAGACAGAAACATGCAGGGACAGCTGATTGCACCATCTTTTATCAAAACACCCTATTTTAATTCAATGTTAGTGTTACTTTTCAAGTTCACCCTCATTATTATCATTCATATATTCAGCTTGTTGCACTGCCCCCAAAATATCAAATAATAGCAGTTTAAACAGTATACAATGCATGTAATGCACCTTTAGACACCTTTGAGCCTTTGATTACGCATCTACTTTCAGAGATAAGTAATGAAGTATTACAAAAAAAATCCAATTGACTGCATTACCGAAAATAACTAAAAACAAAACATTTTCAATACATCATTTAAAGATTAAAAAAGTAATAATGACACAATATTTGAGACTGTTGCATCAGTTAGAAAAGGAACTTTGTTTTCAGAATGGTTTTGAAATTTATGCTGATACCACCAAATATTTCAGTGTTATTTGGCACTACCAAAAGGTGGCAAGTGGTTAAGAAGTAATGTGAGTCAAACAGGCAAAACAACAGTGGGACAACGGTTTTATTTAAAAATAAAAATATAATCGGTTTGCTGCTGTATGCATCCCTATTTCCAAACATTTGCCCTGAGTGTGTATTCTGGCTCCAAAAGCTAGAGGTGATAAGTAACTAAGTACATTGATTCAAGTACTATACTTAAGTACAATTTTGAGGTAGTGCTTTACTTAGTATTTTATTATATTTTGTTCTACTCCACTACATTCTGCTGCGACATTCGGACAGTAGGGTCAGCATTTGGTGTCTTAACATGAGAGCATGGATCCATCCTCCCTTGTATCAACGGTTCAGGCTGGTGTTGGTGGTTAATGGTATGGGGAATATTCTATTGGCATACTTTGGGCCCCTTAGTACCAATTGAGCATGGTGTAAATGCTATTGAGACTGTAGTCTAAGGGTTAGGGTTAGGGTTAAATAATGTACATTTAGTTCCACTACAATTATTTAACAGCTTTAGCTACTTTTAACTAAATGCATCTCTAAAATATAAACTAATGGACTAACTCTTTAAGTCACAAGTCATTTTTAGGTAATAATTATTTACTGTGTTGCTTTTGGACTGCAGTTACCAGACATTTCTTGTCAGTCCTTACTGACTCTGAATATGAAATGGAATAAATGATTTCCTGTCATTGACTGTGGTTCAGACTGAAATATCTCAACTAAATTGGCATGACATTTGGTACAATCTGAGGTGATTTCCTGACTTTAATTGACCCGTCAATCTCAGCAGGCTTTAGGGTAGCTTGTAATTAACACATTGTAGCAGAGGTGGATGAAGTATTCAGACCATATACCTGATAACAGTACTAATACTACACTGTAAAAATACTCAAAGTAAAAGTCCTGCATTGAGTGTTTCTTAAGTAGAAGGATTATGGTATAGTTAGGAAAGGTGACTCAATGCATTAAAAGGATAATGACCTACTGCAGAAACACTCCAGAATTACTTACAAGGAAAAGCAGCACTTCTTTCAATTTGAGAAGTGAGAACTATGAATTGTTTTACAAAAAGAAAGACAATCATCAAACATGTTGCCTATTCATTTTAAAGATTCTACCAGTGTTTCACCTATTATTTTATGAACACTGCTATTCTAAAATGTCACATGATCATTAATAGCCTTTGCTCCCATATCTCGAGTGCCGGTTAGAAACAGCATAGGGAAGAAAAAAAAACTATCCACAGAGGTCTCCTCTTCCCCATAACACATGGAGCTATTGATTAAGTTTGGGTGTTTTCCCTTCCCTGAAATGTGCTATAGGTTTATGTGCATGTAAATGGTCTGCAAAGTCTGAAATCCCCCCATCTGAAACGCCCCCATTAGACTCCTTTGTTTACCTCTTTAACATAATGACATCGCTATTTAACACTTGCACTAT